TTGTGACTAATTTAAATCAGGAATCATTTTGAGCCTTAAAGTCGGTGCTCAAGTGCAAGATAATATTAAAATAATCACTTAATAAATTTGTTTTTGAGTGATTTAGTCTGAAGTCTAAATCAGTTAATTCTACACAACATTTTTAATATATGCTTATGCGGGAAATCAAATGATTTTGTTCTAAATTAATTTTAAATAAGTGTCGTTCTTAATTTTTCCTGGACTAAGCAAGATCATCTTCCAAGGGCAATGAGGCAAACAAATAAAACAGAGTAAACAAAGAGAGATAGAGATGACCATCATGATGTGGCTTGTCCGTAAGTAGCTTGTTTCTGTTTACACCAGCAGTTAAATCAAAGAGGTTTAGCATTCTTCCCACATCCTGGAAAAGGTTTCTCAACATTGTGAACCCTTCTGTTCTGCACCCCATTCATTTCAATAGCTGCGCACACAAAGCTCCGAGATTATTCCCCATACACAAGTACATAACATCTGGGTTGGTTGGGGAGAGCTGAATAACAATAAAATCCACACATAACCAACATCACCTAAACGAACATATAAAATAAGGCCAAAAAAAAAAAAAAACTACATACATAACCAAATACATTAAAATAAGAAGAACCAATCAACAGGAGCCAATGCACACCAGTAAATGAACAGAAAGACAAAAGATCCAAACAGTAAATGAACACCAATGCAATTAACACAGGAAGGAATACAGGGATACATAGAAAACAACAAGAACAAGTTTAGTAGAACCGATTCAATGTGAACTTGCACAGTAAATTTTGTTGGGTTTTGCTCTTTGTTGCAACTTTAGCAAGTATACTAGTCGTACAAGTAATAAAATGATAAGTAAAAAATCGTTCTCACGAGGATTTGTGTTCAAACACCAACTAACCATTTATAATTAAGTTGAATCTAACAAGAATTCTTTGAATGCATTGATAATTGTCACCAGAAATTGAACTGTATTTGGACTTGATAAAATAATTTAAATGTGAATTATAATTTTACAACAAGTAGTAAGAAATCAATCCCATTATGAATTATCTTCCATGTGATGTCAATCAACCTTTTTATTATCACCAAGATGTAATCCCTTACTACCTTGGTTGATACATTAATCACGAACCTCAATCTCTCGGTAATTCCCTTCTTAATACATACATTAAGCACTAAGATTTTAAAGATTACATTAGAGTACTAGTTCCAATCCCTTGAATACTAGAACACTAATGATGAAATTGCAAGTTATAGAAATAATGTAAACATTCATGTTCTACACTACCCCCTTTATGGAAAGAATTGATAAAGACATTTTCATATCATCACATAAAAGATAATCATAATATTCAATCAACCATACATAAATTCATCTTTGAGTTCCATTGAAATCTAACTACAAAGGACTCTACTCAAACATAAGAAAAGAAATAACAAAAGAAGAGGAAATATCAAACTCTATTGTCATGATGATGAATCTTCAATCTTCAATCACAATTACATAAAGTACACTAAACTAATACAAAAACTAGGACCTAAGGAATTTAGAATTTCAGAGAGTAAAAAGTCAGATCAGAGGATCTTTTTAAATGTGAAGGCCCTTTGCCCTTTTATAGTTTACAAATTCCAACTGAATAACATCCAAAAACTGACATGAGCGCTAAAACGTTCCCTGTTGGACGTTTTAGCGTTCAACTTTGACGGATGCCCAACTGCTTTCAACTGTCTTCAGCGCTAAAACATTTGACTTGAACGTTTTAGCGTTCAAGACCAGAATCTTTTTGAACAGCTGAGCGCTAAAACTTTTGCATTGGACGTTTTAGCGCTCGGCACCAGCAATTTTTGGCTTCATTTTGTAGCAGCGTGCTAAAACGTTCGCTTTGGAGGTTTTAGCGCTCAACACTTAGAATTCTCCAATTTCTTCAGAATCTTCTTCCTTCTCTCTTTTGCTTCTTGAGCTTCATTTCCCTACAAGAACAATGTAAATTTTTAACACAACTTTCATAACTTGTATTTAGGACTTTCCAGGACATTGACCCTCTTTTCCATCCATTTAATCACACAAATTAAGCTAATTCATGCTTAAAAACCTTATAAACCAAGGGTTTATCACAATTCCCAGATTTGAACATTGTTATCCTCAGTAATGAATTAAAAACAGAGAAGGATTTGAGATTCTTTACATATTAAACTCATGAGGATGGACTTCAATTAACAAAAGATCAACATTTCATGATACAAGCTTATAACCGTGCAATCTTTTATTTCTCATAATTTTCCCAACATCATTTGTGACTTTTCAACAGATCAGTAGAGATGATATACAGAGACTTCCAAACAAAACACCCCCTCACTAGGAACTTCTCAAAGATTGTGAGAATTTAACTCTCTTGCACTCTAGTGTTTAAGGATGCACTTATCATTCAATCTTCACTGTACTCAAACTACCATAGGCTTGCCCGTCTTCTCACTTTCCACAGTAACAATGATCCATAGAGCAGATCAAAAGGGTCTTTGTATAGTTGGCAATATGACTTGGTATGTGGCTTGACTAGAGGTAGAAGTTTATGTTAAAGGAAGGGTTCAGATTAAATGAATCAGATTCAGATAAGAGGAGGATCACAAAATTTATCATATTTTTCTTAATTCCCTCAACTTTCTTCCTGTTCATTCCTTGTACCTTCTTTGAACCTTTCTTCCTCCTTTTTCTTCCAGACACTTTGTGTCTTTGATCCTTTTTCCTTTTTCTCCCTTCTTTTTCTTTCAGACACTTTGTGTCTTTAATACTTCCCTCTGTCTCTTCCAGACACTTTGTGTCTTTAATATCCTTTTTTTCTTTTTCTTCCTTCTTTCCTATATTTCCAACACTTTGTGCATTCATTTATTGCAAGAACACTTTTCTCCCCACAAAGCACTTCATCCATTATCACTTATCTGAAACTTTTAATCTGAAGGATTGGAATGAATGTAGGTTCTTGGTTTTATAGACAAACATGCTTAAGCTCAAAGGTTTTATGCAATAGAAACATTAAGGTTGGTCTTTTAAACTTTTTGGTTCAAGAAGGAAGTGTCTCAATCATTTCTACCCAACACATCATAAACTATTTCAAGCAAGAAACAAGGCAAGTTCTAGAGTTATTCATGCAGTAAAGTGCTCTCTGAACAAAATTTGCTGTATAGGCTCAATTTCTCACAGTTCAAAGTGCATGCTTGACTTTCTCTATATGTATCAAAACTAATCTCTCTACTCTTACACATTGAATGAGTCATGCAATCATTTCATTTTTCCTCAAAATGCAAGGTAATAAGATTGTATCCTTAATTTGATCAATCATCTAAAACTTTGATCAGTCAAATCCTCATAGAATTCCATATCATAACTGAAATCCAAATTCAATATCACAACTAAAATCAAGATCACACAAGAAAACTTAGAAAATAAAAAGATTGAGATGTTTCCCTGTTTTGGCTCATCAATTTGTGTGACATCTCCATGAAGTTTGCATGCCATTCAATCCATTCAATCACACCCAATTCCCACATTTAAACATTGCTTTCCCCAGAAACTAATTTAAATCTAAAACAGCAATTGGTCACTGAAACACATTCATATATCAACCAATAGCATCAGTACTATCACAATGTGCATCATGCAAAAATAGTGAATATCTCAATGTACTTAACCGAATTACAAAAGTAAACAAACAACAAAATAAACTAAAAGAAACGACAATGAAAATAGCAGAAACTAAAGCGTAGGACAATCAAGAGTCAATGTGAGACTCTGAGTCCTCCTCATCTGAGGTAAGAGGATCTGATCCTGGATCTGCAGTAGGAAGCGGGGTATAATCATCATCAGCAGTCTGATCCTCCTCCATACCAGAACTAACTCCAACAGGCTGATCGCCAGTAGTCTGATCAGCAGCAGACGTAGCATCTATACCCATGGCAGCCATAGCTTCCATCATAGCCTCATCCTCATCAGCACGCTTTTCAAAGAATGCTGTAGCAGCTGCCTCAAATGCGTCCTCCTCCTCTGAATGAGGATAATCCTCATCTTGAAATGCTGCCGGCTCTACTCCCAGGGCCTCACAAAGGGCTGTCAGCATCTGAAACATCTAAGTCTGAAATGATTTCTGACTCGTCTACATGAACTTGAGATGGTGGCGTAAATACCCCAGACGAACCTCAGTGTTGACCAGCCACTGCTCCCCTGATCGCCTCTTCCATATGGACTCGGACTCGGCCTCGGTCATGTTCTTCCTTCCCGGTGTAAAACCGGTGGTTGCTCCTCCTCCAATCCGAAGTTGTGTGGTGATCATCTTGACATTAATTTCAGGGTGCAACTTAACCTGCGCCTCATTATCAGCAATGTCAACTCCAGCTCTCTTACATAGATGTTGGATCAAAGAACTGTGACCCAGTGCTGAAGTACTGCTATCAGAATGTGCCATGCCATAAACACTATTTTGAAGAATGATGGGGAGTTCCACTTTCTTCCCAGTCATGATGGTGTAAATCAACACAGCTCGCATCATAATAATCTCCGTCTGGTTGGAGGAAGACAATGCATTTGAAATCACAAAGTGGAACCATACCCTGGCCTGTCCATTCAACTGCCTTAACCACAGTAACTTTGGATTTACCTCATCCTTCATCATCTGCCATTTTTCATTAGGCTTGGCTATAGTTTGCAAAACAGGCTCAGCCGCTCCCAATTTAGTCCAAGTTTCAAAATCAGGGATGCTTCTCTTTGGAGGAATGTCAATCCTTTCCCAAGTCTTCAGAAACTGACAGTTTTGGTTCTGTATGTAATCACAATGAGTGATCTTCAAAAGTTTCTGAATGGTATGAGCATCATACTTCACCTTCTTCCCTTGTACTAGACTGACAAAATGTCGCTTACCACCTTCATCCCCATTATAAGCATTTGCATAAAATTCCCGACAAATAGCTTGACTGCTATTGTCCAACATCATGCCAAAAGTCTCTTATTCCCGCTTTAACAACTGAGACTGAAAATCAGGATATTCATCTTTGTTCAAGACGAATTTTCTCTCTCGGACAAAAGGCCTGGAAGATGTCTTCTCATTAAATCTGGCTTCACGGGCGGCACTCCTCCATAGTTTGTCATCATAAGAAGGTGGAGGTGTAGGCTCCTTACTCTTAGACACTCTGGCCCTCTTTTTGCCAATCTTCTTAGTTGGTGAAGACATGGTCCTATCAATATGAAAGAAGAAGTCAGTCAATAAGTCAAAGCATTTGAGATATAATGGATCACAATTCCCAGATTTAAATTGGAAAGAATTAGTTGAGAGGGATCCAAAATGTGAAGGAAAAACAACCCCCACAATGCTAGACTAGCAGCCTAAAATCATGCATGTATCAGGGCCAGGGCGCTACAACGTTTACAGGGAGCGTTTTAGCGTCCTGGCAATTTCGTGGTACAAAATGGTGGAGCGCTAAAACGTTGGTTGGCAACCGTTTTAGTGCTCTGGCTTTTCTGAGTCAGGCAATACCACAAACACTTGGTGTGCGTGTGTACAATGAATAATGTGTATAAAAGATTTGGGATTCCTTTCATCCCAAATAATTAAAACTAGAAGTACCCAACAATCATGGACATACAACATTACCCAATTATTTACAATTGAAAGATGAAAATCATAATCCAAAGATCACACCATCCAAAACATATGGAAACAAATGATATTACAACATACAAAGCATGTACAATCGATGATGTTACAACATGAGTAATGGAAAGTTGAACATACCTTGATGAGAATATAGCCGATGAATGTAGAAGAAAGGGAGAAGAGTTCAACAATTTTTTTGGAAATAGAAGAGGGAATGAGAGAGTGAGGGAAAAGTGAATAAATAACCGTGTAACTCAAATAAGTGACGCGGCGCTAAAACGTTCAAACAAAACGTTTTAGCACCGAGGTCCGGAAAAATGTGCACATGGTTGTGTGCATCAGCGCGCAAAAACGATCAAAACTGAAAGTTTTAGCGCGCTTAACCATAATGTTTGCACGGTGATGCCCTTGTGGAACGCTAAAACGGTCAAACAAAACGTTTTAGCGCTATGGGCCAGAGTTTTGCATTGTGATGCATCTCTGGACCGCTAAAACGTCCAAGAAGGAACGTTTTAGCGCCCATCACTTGTCAAATTTTCCAAAATTTTCTAATTTTTTTTATAATATTATTAATATTAATTATATATTACTTACCTGATATAGTGGGTTGCCTCCCACTCAGCGCGTGTTTAACGTCACGAGCCTGACGTTCTTCACTTAACTTACCTCCATCAAGGCAACTGTAAGAAGTTGCTTGTCTACAGCACTACCAATGTACAACTTCAACCTCTGAACATTGACAGTAAAGCTTCGGTCAGAATTCAAGGGACTAATTTCCTCCGCTCCATAAGACTTAATATCCTTCACCACAAATGGTCCAGACCATCTGTACTTTAACTTTCCTGGAAATAACTTCAAACTGAAATTGAACAGCAGAACTTGGTGGCCCACCTTGAAATCCCTGGGTGTGATCTTCCTGTCATGCCATAGCTTGGTCTTTTCTTTGTATAAGCTTGCACGTTCATATGCAGAAAGACGGAATTCATCCAGTTCATCCAATTGAAGTAACCTTTTCTCACCTGCTGCTTTGGAATCAAAGTTTAAAAACTTGACAGCCCACAATGCTCTATGTTCCAACCCTACTGGTAAATGACATGCTTTCCCAAATAAAAATTGGAATGGAGACATTCCAATAGGAGTCTTGAATGTTGTACGGTAAGCCCATAAGGTGTCATCAAGTTTCTTGGACCATTGAGTCCTAGCATTTCCAATAGTCTTTTCCAGTATACGCTTAAGTTCTCTGTTAGAAATCTCAACCTGACCACAAGTCTGTGGATGGTACGGGGTACATATCTTATGCCTGACTCCATATTTTGCAAGAGCAACTTCTACCAACCAATTGTCAAAATGTGCTCCCCCATCACTGATTATTGCTCTCGGGACTCCAAATCGCACAAAGATATTCTTTTTCAGGAATACGATCACAACCCGAGAATCATTAGTTTGTGTGGCTATGGCTTCAACCCATTTTGATACATAATCCACTGCCACCAGGATGTACTTATTGGAGTAGGAAGAGGGAAAGGGTCCCATGAAATCCATACCCCAAACATCAAAGATTTCCACCTCTAGTATATTTTCAATGGCATTTGGTTATTAATGAACCACCAGCTATGGCATTCACCAATGTCCTTGTGTTGGTTGTCAGCCCTTGGAGAAATATTGCTGCTTGATTCCACACTTCGATTCCATGTTGTGGACATTTCCTCAAGAGTGTTTTGAACCTCTCCCAAGCTTCATAGATAGACTCTGATTCTTTTTTTTTGAACCCTGTAATCTCATCTTTAACTTTGCTCTTTTTGATGCTGAAAAGAACCAAGCTAAAAACTTAGTCTGCAGATCATCCCAAGTTGTGATACTTCCTTGAGGTAATGATTGTAACCATCTTCTTGCACCATCCTTCAGTGAATGAGTGAACAATCTTAACAAGATAGAATCTCTAGTCACACCATTGATCTTCACCGTGTCGCTCAAAAGTAAAAAATTCTCAATGTGCAGATATGGATCTTCTGCACTTGTGCCAGCAAACTGTTCCTTCTGCACCAGTTGTACTAATGCTGGTTTCAACTTAAAGTTGTTAGGCTCCACAGTGGGTCGAACAACACTCCCAATCGGTGGAATGACCGTGGGAGTCATGTAATCTCCCAATGTCCTCTGTGGTGGTGGCCTGTGATTTTCTTCCATGACCTCTTCCTGATTTGTCACACTGGATTCACCCCTTTCTTGTAGCTTCCTTTGTCTTGCTGCCTTTATGTTCTTCCTAATTGTCTTTTCTAATTCTGGATCAAACAACAAAGAGTTTGGATTAATATTACCTCGCATACACCAGAATTGGAATTGAACAAAACTTCACATATAAATATAAATTGCTGAAAATACTAAAAATACAATCTCAAATATTAATGGTTTCTGTCAATGTTGAATAACAAATCCCCGGCAACAACACCAAAAAATTGTTGCAACTTTAGCAAGTATACTAGTCGTACAAGTAATAAAATGATAAGTAAAGATCGTTCCCACGAGGATTTGTGTTCAAACACCAACTAACCATTTATAATTAAGTTGAATCAAACAAGAATTCTTTGAATGCATTGATAATTGTCACCAGAAATTGAACTGTATTTGGACTTGATAGAATAACTAAAATGTGAATTATAATTTTACAACAAGTAGTAAGAAATCAATGTTCCTCAACCATAAACTTATGTAAGAATCAATCACATTATGAATTATCTTCCATGTGATGTCAATCAACCTTTTTATTATCACCAAGATGTAATCCCTTACTACCTTGGTTGATACATTAATCAAGAACCCGTAATTCTATTCTTAATACATACATTAAGATCTACGATTTTAAAGATTACATCAGAGTACTAGTTCCAATCCCTTGAATACTAGAACACTGATGATGAAATTGCCAGTTACAGAAATAATGTAAACATTCCTGTTCTACACTACCCCCTTAATAGAAAGAATTGATAAAGACAATTTCATATCATCACATAAAAGATAATCATAATATTCAATTAACCATACATAAATTCATTTTTGAGTTCCATTGAAATCTAACTACAAAAGACTCTACTCAGACATAAGAAAAGAAATAACAAAAGAATAGGAAAGATCAAACTCCATTGTCATGATGTTGAATCTTCAATCTTCAATCACAATTACATAAAGTACACTAAACTAATACAAAAACTAGGACCTAAGGAGTTTAGAATTTCAGAGAGTAAAAAGTCATATCAGAGGATCTTTTTAAATGTGAAGGCCCTTTGCCCTTTTATAGTTTACAAATCCCAACTGAATAACATCCAAAAACTGACATGGGCGCTAAAACGTTTCATGTTGGATGTTTTAGCGTTCAACTTTGATGGATGTCCAACTGCTTTCAACTATCTTCAGCGCTAAAACATTTGACTTGAACGTTTTAGTGTTCAAGACCAGAATCTTTTTGAACAGCAGAGCGCTAAAACTTTTGCATTGGACGTTTTAGCGCTCGGCACCAGCAATTTTTGGCTTCATTTTGCAGCAGCGCGCTAAAACGTTCGCTTTGGAGGTTTTAGCGCTCAACACTTAGAATTCTCCAATTTCTTCAGAATCTTCTTCATTTTCTCTTTTGCTTCTTGAGCTTCATTTCCCTAAAAGAACAATGTAAATTTTTAACACAACTTTCAGAACTTGTATTTAGGACTTTCCAGGACATTGACCCTCTTTTCCATCCATTTAATCACACAAATTAAGCTAATTCATGCTTAAAAACCTTATAAACCAAAGGTTTATGACTCTTTCACTAAAGCCCAATAGGATCTAGTGTGTAAGAAGAGCTCAAGAAACCTAAAGCTCATTCTACTTAGGGCTAAGGTTTCTCGGAAGCCATATATATTCTACACTTATAGTCATCAGCCTTTCTAGTCTTCATTTGACAATTGTAGAGGCTGAGGTAATGTCATCTTCCTGAAAGTGAGAGAGTGCCCACACACTTCCTATTTCCTTTGAGACATAATCTGGAAGATCTGCCACAGTCCAGCTTCAATGAGGTTCTTCGTGCTGCGGCGCTGGGGTGAGCTGTTTGTGAAGAGGAATCATACAAGAGAAGATTCTACACGAGACCTGCGCAACAATAGGTAATTGTGAAACGAGGATGATTCGATAAGCATACCAATATACTAGGTCCTAAAACGCTTCCGCATAAATCCAATAGTTCCTACAATTGCTATCAAAGCCTTGGCTGTACATTGGTATGTGAATCTAGATTCAATATTCATGTAATTTTGTTATGCTTCGTTAAATATGGCACCTAGGATTCTATATTTGTTATTCAAATATTTGCATGAGTATTCTTTTCATTAAAAATCAATGCTTTTATTTGATTTTTGGCTTTAATCCATGGTAGAGATTTGATTGTATTTTCTTGGGTTGTAACAAGGAGGCTCATCCCTTATGCTTAGGTTTCCTCCTTGATTTTTTATTTCAGTTTTTTTTTTATATATTTTAGATGTATTAAAAAATTGTAGTGAACGAAGACCAAGAAGATGCTGAAAGAAGACATTCATGGCTATTTTGTAATTTTTGTGATGAATACGACCTCCGATCGAAAATACGAGATCGTAGAAAGATTCAGAACGAAAATCGAGTCAAACGAAAGTTGAATTGTGGAAAACAGAGGTCGGACGCTCCCGCACTCTCCACCGGAAGTATTTGAGAGTGGACTTCACTCTCCTGGGAAGAATGAGCACGTGGGAGAGCCTGCCAGCTTTGTTTGGGGCGATTCTGGTGGTCGAGGCTTCATCTCGTGAAGGCAGTTCTTCCTGTGAAGTTTTGTATCAATCGGACATCATACATAGGTGCAACAGTCGTGACAGCTAGGGTTCCTGAAAGTTGACTTAGGTTTCTCGCCAAAATTTGGTATTTTGAGCCTTTGGGCCCATGGTTACCCTAAAGAAGCTTGAAACAGAAACTATGGACTATAAGAGAATGAGCAAATCAGCCGCAAAAGTTTCCTATTTGATTACTTTGAAATTTTATTTTTTTAGGAAACCATGGATTAAGGTTTTTATTATAATTAATTGCCTTAATTGTATGATTGGATGATTTATATGATTGATAACATGCTTTATTGCGATAACATGCCATATAGAATAGATGGTGTCATATTGTTGCATAACTCTTATGATTACATGAGCATAATAGCTATTATGTCTTCAGCGACTAGTATGATAGTTATTATAGGATTATTTCAATTTTAAATTATCCCAAAAAAAATTAATTAATAATTATTATGATTTTTGTTAAAAATCTAGATTAATAATTGAATTAATTAATTTTGAATAATTAACATCAAGACAAATGATCATTATGGAAATTATTTTGATTTCAAATTATCCTCATAAATGATAATTCTTATGATTGTTGCAATCTAGATTACTAATTAAATCAGCTATTTGGATGATTTAAAATCTAAAAAAATAATTAAGAAAATTTCCTAAGAGAATTATTTTATTTTGCGAGTATTTTGTGGGTCTACTAAAATGGTCATGTGTTAAACACACGCTTCATACCACAATCATGTATCATGATTGTGTGAAGCACACGCTGCCTATCATGACCGGATTTTAGGACCTTAATGATTTCAATTCAGATAAGCTAAGTGATGCACGTTCATCGACGCTCTTGCTTACATGGTTTTTGAAATCAAACAAAGGATACTCTCAATTAAATAATTCTTGAAAATTGGAAAAATTTCTTATGTTGAATGGAAGGAAATTTAAATTAAGAAATTAATTTAACCTTCAAGCGCATTATAGGACCATTAATAAAATAATCATGTTAAGTCCCATCGAATAAGCATGACTGGATTTTATTAGATTGGACCTAAATAAGTTTAGGAGGAGATTTAAATGAAGAAAATAATTTAACCTCCAAGCACATTGTGAGCCTATCAATAAAATAATTATGTGAGGCTCCAACAGATAAGCGTGATTGGATTTTATTGAGCCTTAATAATTTCAAAATTTTAATAAAGTATTGTACGGCCCATCGTCGACAATACTAAGTTATTAAAGATAATTCTGAAATTAAACAATAAATTTGACAGGGCTTATGAAAATTCTCAAACAAAATGTTGAATGGGTGAAAGTTTTAAAAATTAATTAATTAATTTTAAAACCTGCGGGCTCCATTTGTGGGTTTATTAGTGAAATGGTTATCGCTGAATCCCTATCGGATAAGGATAATCTGATTTCACTAGATTAAATCTTAATAATTTCAAAATTTTAGTAAAGTATTGTAAGACCCATCGTCGGCAATGCTTGGACACTAAGGATAATTTTGAAATTAAACAATGGTTAATTACATTCAACTTTGATAAAATTGTTAACTCTCCCATCGAGGCTCTGACAATGGCATTGAAGGCCCAAATAACAATTTTGGTTTTTACAAGTGACTTGCCCATCGTAAGCCTTGTTAAGAAAACTGAAGGATTGTTAATAATAAACATGAGTAGTTATGAGAATCTACTTGAACTTCTTTGTTTATTA